CGCCTCTGGTCTTGACAGTATTCTCATTTTTTGAAATCCTGTTTTTGAGTTTTTTATGAGCTGGAAGCCCAAATTATGTAATTAAATAAACAACTAAGTGCTTGAAACCCTGAATCTATAATATATGAAAGTTTAACGTTTTGAATGGAATTAAGGAAATAAATAAACTTTTCCATGATATTCACATTTTTTGGAAAGGGTCTGTATATCTGTAGGCTCTTCCTTCTCTAACCTTCTTACTCAGAAACAACACGCTTTTTCTTTTATTGGTTTCAGCTGAATTAAAGCAAAAACATTTTTCTGTTTCACGTGTCTGTGAAGCTTCTCAGTCATCCAGGTCGTCGTAGTCTAAGGAGCTTGGAAAGAAAAGCGTCTGGACTTATTCAAGTTTCTTTGATATCTTAATATCATCTATTAAAGATACTAAATCACTGATAGTATGACAAAATGAAGACAGCATTTAAACACGTTCATGTAGTAAACTGGGCTGAGAGTGCTTCAATAAAATAGTTCTGGTGAACCTGCACTGTACAAATAAAACTGAAGTTCACTAGATGTTGTATATATGGCTTTGTCTATCTACTGGAGGGTATGTTTCGTAGATGTAGCTGTGAATTGTGGTTGAATGTGTTAAGAAACTCCAGATCAAATGGTGCTGGCCTCTGGGTGGCAGAGTTTAAGCTTGTGATCATGTGGGATCAGCCTTGGTTTAATCCCTTAGTGAGAGAGAGAGAGAAGAAAGCGAGGAGGCGAAACGTACTTATTGACGTGGAGCGGTGCCTGAGGCACAGTACTGATGAGAGAGCTCCATAACCATCTTACAGGGGAAATCTGGATTTTTCTCCTTGCTTTACTTTGGAAATTTGGAACCTCGTGTCACTCCTAGAGCTGTTACAGATGTCAAACTTTGGTAACCATCCATCTTTACTTTTTAGAATCTGGACTCGTCAGAAATCCTGTGAGACTGTATTCATTTGTTTTCTATCAGCGCTTTGATTTCCTCTGGGATTCAAGCTTAAAACTGGGAGTGTAAGTTTTACTCTTCATACCCATCTTTGAACTCTTCTAGAACGCCGGATCATTTTCACTAATTTTACATGTTATAAAGCTGCACATTCATCCTGCAAACTTGGACACTATCATTTCTTTCTAAATAAGTTGTGTTATTTTCCTAATGGCTCAATTAAGTTGTAGCCAAAGTCCAGACCTGCCAAATGGAGCCGTTGCCCACAGCCCACAAGGTATGTGTTCAGACCTGGATACACACAGAATCAAAGACGACGCCGAGGAAGAAGAAGAAGATGATGATGAGGTGGAACTGGCAGAGGAGGTTGGGGAAGATGTTTTGATGGTTGCTGAAGCAGAACAAACTGAAGATGAAAGTAAAGAAGACAATGATTGGCAGAAAGGAGAGATTACACATGTGACCCTGTTATCAGATGGAGAAATAGGAGAGGGGGAGGATGAATGTGAAGTAGTGGAAGAAGAGGGGAATGGAGAAATGGGAGCGGGAGATGGACATCAAGAAATAACCACCACACTGACAACAGGCAAAGAATCTGAAGATACAAAGATGGCTGAAAATCTCTCTCTTTCCCCTCTATTGGTTGTGGTTGAACGAGGGAAGCGACAAATATTAAACAGCAATGGAGATGATGAAAAAGAGGAGGAAAGTGAAGAAAACAAACAAGGGGGAGAAACAGCAAGCGCAGGAACAGATGTAAGGCAGGAAAACATGGACGAAGGCACCGACGATCACGTGTCCTGTCTTCAGGACGGAGGTACTTCTGTGTGGGAGTCAAGAATCGGTTCCAACACATGTACTGGTGACCGAGGCGAAACAGAAACTGCTACTTTGCCCACTGCTGGCAACATAACAGAGGTTAATCTGAACATAGAAGTGGCTCCTTTTTCTTCTGGAATAAATGAACAGGCCAGCATCCAAGCTTCAGCTCTGGGCACTGATGACACACCAGTCGATAGAAGTGTTACAGCTGAAGAGGTGGCCAATCAAACCTACCAATTAGATAATGAGAGTCAAAATGAAATAAAAAACAATGATGGAGAAGATCCCTCAGAATCCATAAAACAGGAGGTTGTTATTGATAATCTTACATGGCAATGCCAGGGAGTCCAGGAGTGTGTAAATCATGGCTATGAGTTCCCCGTGAGAGCAGGAACCAATCAAATAGCACAAGAACCAGAGCTGACGGCCCTAACCTCTGAAGAACAGCCACAGTCAGATGGAGACACTAAAGCTAAAAGGACTGAAGACGTCACCCAGAAGGAGCAAGCAGAAGAGCAAGTTAACAACTTGGCAGAGATGGACGGGGGAGGAAAGAGTTCAGAAATGGAGGAGACGATAGCCAATAATGTTGCTGGAGAGTTAATGGGCCAAGAAGAGCACAGAGCAAGAAATGATCTAGAAATGCAAGAAGAAAAATCTGCTAAGCTTGAAATACAAGCTATAAGAGTTCCTCCAGAACCAGTGGGCCAGACTGGAGAAGAGGTGCATACAGACACAAAGGACCAGGTGGAGGAAGCTTCTCTATCTGAGAAAGGCATCGAGGTGAAGCTCGACGGGACAGAAGGAGAGGACAAATCTGAGAAAAATGAATCCACAACAGAAGGAAGTGCTTTACAAGAGCATCCGTTGCAGCTCCAGAAAGAAGCAGACACAATTTGGAGAAACAACACAAAAGAACATCCACAGACAGAGATGCTTGTAGAATTTGAGACTGGAGGAGGAGCAGTAGAAGAGTCAATGGAAGGAGAAGTGGAGATGGCAGAAGAGCCAGTCACTGTTCTTGATGATGAGACTGAAACGATGGAGGAGACGCCCAGTGAAAAATCAGAAGAAGTACATCCTTTCACCATTATGAGCGGTTCTGATGATGCCACAGACAAGATAAAAGATGAAGATCACCAAGTGCTGCCAGGAAACGAGGCCATACTGGGTAAAGAGGACATGGAGACACAGGACGTAAAGCTAAAGGTGCACAACAGTGAGGCAGAGGCAGATCTAAATGAGAGCATTAAAACACTGAAGCAAACAATGGAGAATGGGTTCTTGTGTCCTGAGCCACAAGGTCTTAGGAAAGACGAACTGGGGAAAGTAAAAGTGCTGTCACCCAGGAGAAAAGATAGAGACTGGATTAAAACAGATCAGCCAGAAGAAGAGACGACTGCTGCTGAAAGGAAGGACTGGAGTAAAGAGCTGAGGCACATCAAAAAAGAGTTCTGGGAGAATGAGTGGGGAAGGAAAGAATGGGTGGATAAAGAAACGTCAGCAGAAAAGATCAGTTCACCGAGGAAGGCGGATTGGATAAATGAGCTGAAGTCAGTTATCAAAGATGAATCGCTGCCCAAAAAGAAAGACGAGCAGGTGAAGAAAAAGAGAGTGGTGCTGCTGGAACATGGTTGCTCATATGTCCCTCAGCGGGAGGCGATGACTGCAGAGACGAGGGAAGAGATCAAGGTGACCTCCGACAGGAGAGCGGACAGTCCTATGGTGGACAGTAAAACACTGGAGAACCAACCCTATGAAATCTCCCTGTATGTCAAGGTAATCAACTCTTCCATGGTTCCTTTGGCCTGTGATGAATGCCAGACGGATAGTTATTACTATTATCATAGTGGGAATTTACAAAGAGCATTTTGTCATAATGAATAATGAATTAGGCTCTATGGAGAAGTTCATGATACAGCAAAGTGAAAGTGCACAGAAAATAAGCAGAGAAATATAAAGTTCTTGTGAGAACAGGGAGGACATTAGTACAAGAGAAAATCTGAAAATGAAAGGAAATATGATATGAATACACAAAAGAATTAGGAACAAGAAACACAGATAAAACTAATAAAGACAATGATAAGACGTTATGAAATGTTAGCTTCATATATCAAAGACTTTTTCTTTAGAGGGCCATCCCACTCGCCATCAGGCCTCCGTCTGTGTTTGAACCTGATACAAACCTGAAGACGACTTCCTGAACATCAAGATCAGAGTATTGGCTCCATAAAATGTGACGAAAAAAACTTCAAGCTGTCCTGACTTAGAAAATAATTTTGATAAATATGAGACCTACGTTATAAAAATAAATTATTTGATTGTTTTTTTTAATTATTGTAAAATATTCGATGCTTCTAAATACTTGTGCAAGAAAAAGTGAAAAATACCACATTCTTTGTAAGAGTCCCAGAATCTGCAACGGTAAATACCTCAGTCATAAAGAATATGCATTTATCTTCTTATTTGTTCTTATTATGTTTTTGGTAACCAATTTTATAAGATACTAAGCCATCAGTGAAATTAGCATAATTATAGCTTTTAATAATTTTCCATGTTACACCATTGTTAGTGAAAACTTCCTTAATTACACAAAAATATCAGTTAATAACAAATAAATCTACACAGAGACTAAACGACCTTTATTGTTAATATTTCACTGCCACATATGTTATAAATGCATTTGTCGTATTAAGTAGAATTTATGCTTAGATGTGTTTTTACAGTCTTTCTATGTGGTACAAAAAGGATCCTGATTTTTCCATGGCATTCTACTTTAGCATTAAACATACTGATTCACTGTCAGCGTAATTTATTGATATTTCATGTACTTCCAAAAATACAGTCAATTTGTCTACCCCAATACAAGTTTATTTATAAAGCATTTTAAAATAGCCAGCACACGATCAAAGTGCTGTGCAGGAAATAAGTTAATAACAATAGAATAAAATAAAACACATAATACATAAAGATTTGACTTAAAACAGCCTTATATTTTTAAAAAAAAACCCAACAACATAAAACAACTTAGAATTAACTAAATAAAATAAAATAAAATAAAATAAAATAAAATAAAATAAAATAAAATAAAATAAAATAAAATAAACCAACACTGGATCTGCTACAGCAAAAGCACAATCAGGGGCAGCTGATCAGCTGACCTGAGAGAGCGGGTGGGTGTATAAGGCTGTAGCAGCTCAGAGAGATAGGATGGGGCGAGGCCATGGAGAGCTTTAAAAGCAAATAAAAGAATTTTAAAATGAATCCTGAAAGAAATGGGCAGCCAGTGAAATGAAGCTAAACTAGAGGAAATGTGCTCAAACTTCAGACGAGCTGCAGCATTTTGCACCCTCGGTAAATGACTTCAGATCACAGTCCACTTTGACCCCCAGGTTTGTGACAGCTGGCTTAACATATTGGGTCAAGGTATCTAAATACACATTGGGGGTCTCAGTGGGGCTACCAAACACCATCACCTCAGTCTCTTTATCACTGAATTTTAAAAAGTTAAGAGACATCCAAGCCTTAATTGAGACACTGAAGTAATGGCTGTGTGGAACATGAGCCTTTGTTCTGCAGAGGGACATAGATCTGACAGTCAGCACCATAGAAGTGAAACGCAATGCTGTGTTCTCTCATCAAACCAAGAGGAAGCAGATACAAAGAAAAGAGGCTGAGAGCTGAGCACAAACAAACACAACACTGGCAGTGACAGACGGCAGACACACACAATGTATAGAACCGATGTTTGCAGTGCAGCAGAGAGGGTTATAGAGCCCACGAAGGCTGTGACAGCAGCTCAGGTGATACCTGCTCAGTAAAGTGTGTGGAGATGTCACTGGTGTCTATAACTTGTTACCCACATGTAGTGTCACTGGTGCCTGAAACTTTGAGGCTGTAGCAGCTTCATCAGTATGTTAATCAACTCTGACTTTAAACTGAGACTCTGAGAGTTTCCTGTTCCAGAGCAGCTGAATTAGTTCAATAAGCTCAACTCTGTGTGAGGACGCAAAGAGAGCCATGACCGGTGGAGCTCCACCACATTTCACCATAGGAAGAGCAGTGACTCCACTTTAACACAACATGCTGAATTAAATAAAAACTCTTTGAATAATTATTCAGTAACACTGAGAGAATGTAATTTTTCTATATATAGAATAAGATTATTTCTGGTTGTACTGGATAAAAATCTGTAATAAATATAGAGAAAAGTGCTTAAATGTTTCCCATTTCTAATCTCTTCTAATATTCAGCCTTCACTGACAGATGGTGCGTGTGACTGCTAGTGCTCATAGTTCCCTGAAAACAAATGCAGGGGAACTTTCCAAGTCTTTCGTTTTATCAGTAAATGTGCTGTAAGAAGTGCCTTTTACAGAGGTTAAATATTTCAATATAGTTTTGGGAGGTCGAGCCTGGTCTTGGCCCAGCACATTGCACACACTGTTTCAGTATTCACAGTGTTTGTTCACACAGTTGCCTGTTCAGGCCAGTGTTGCCCAGTAGCTCAGCCGTCAGCTGCCAGCTCATCTCCCTTCTCCTCCACGTCCCAGCATCCATGTCTAGACGACGGCTTGCTGTCACACTGGTCAGATCTAGACAGGATGAGCTGGGAAATGACCAGAGCCAAACTGAATCTGATTTAGATGAATTTCAGTGGATTTCCATGTTCAGACTCTGAATTTCAGACACAGAAGCCTTCAAAATGTTCTTTGATATCATGATTTACAACCTCAATCTGTGAACACATTTCAACCTGAGAACCTAGCATCACGAGAGTTAGAAGGATGGAGACTACATATTCTGAACTTGCTGCTTCATTGTAGGATTGTTATCTTACTATATAAAGTGCCTGGAAGCAACTGAACTCAGGGGATGATTAATCCAAGACTGCTGATCACTGCACACAAAATAGAAAACTAACATCTAATTGGAATTTTTGTAAAAATGTAAAATGTGAGTTTGGCAGAAATGTATGAATAAGCACAGATGTCTGTCAGCTGGTTCTCTCACACAAACTTGTTAGCTAAGCTTGCTTCCTGGAATAGAGCAATAAACTTAAACGGCTGCCTGTAAGAGTCACTGTTATTATTAATGTGGCAGAACCACAGCCACAGTTGGGTGTCAGACACTGGACAGGAAAAAGAAACTGAACAAGAGCTGAGCTCTCTCACAGTGAACATCAACAATCTGCAAAAATGAACAACAAGTGTGAACAAACTGGAGCACCACCCCAGGACCGTGACAGACAAACAGCAAGTGAAAAGCTAATCTTGATCTGCTTATCTCATCCCATTAAGACAGTGCTGTTCTAATCCATCGCCATGGTAACCCACATTACTTAATGCATGTAATTTTAAATGAGATTTGAAAAAGATTCAAAGTCAATGAAGCCTGCACTTCTGTGACCATTGTGTGCTCTGTGCTCTGGTTCGACAGCATCCTGAGAATAACTTTCATTACCTGAGAGATTTAGCACAAATACCCGAGCTTCGGCCGCGTCCACGTAACAAGCTTGTTCAAACAAAGCCTTCCTTTGTCACGGGCCCTGTGGGCAGCACAGATGGAGGTAGATACAAATATTATGTAGAAGTTCAGGTTTCCTTCTCTGTGGTCTAGAAAAGCTGTAAATCCTCACATCTGAGGATTTCTTTGAAACAGCACGATCATGAAAATAAGCATTTTACTTTCAACTTATGCTGAAACACAGTTTCTGCTTTTGTTTGTAAAAGAGTACAGAATGAAATAGTCTGAATAGTGCTGGTGTGCTATGTTAATCTCAGCAGTCTCGCTGGGTAAGCTGATTATCCTCCTGTTTGTTACTGAGAGCTCAGAGCTGTTGCAGCAACATTCAGTATGAATTCTTTACTCACAGGAAAACTGTTTTACACAACACTCATAGCGCAAAGATGAAGCACGTTGCTTATAAAAGTTATTGATCACATTACTCTTTACATTACTCCTCTGCGAGATCGTTTTTTTAGAATTTCTTTCCAGTATTGGATCTCTAATAGTGACCATACTGAGATATTTATCCCAATTCAGCTAATAATAGGACACAGACACATTTTAGTTGTGTTAGATTCACCTGAACTTCAACAGATAGCTGATGTGCTTATGTATTCACATGGGAGAGAAACAGGAATTATCATGCAGAGGATATTCTTCTGTACATCTCTGTTAAACACAGAGTCCAGATTTATTCAGTCAAATTAATTATAATATGAGAAAAGAGATGTAAGATCTACACTTACACCGTATCGTTCTTTTGGGGTTTTATTTCTTTATTTCCTTCATCCACCCATTTGTTCTGCTGTTCATAAGTGAAGCACTACAGTTTTTATCCATAGATCACCTGCAGGACACGTGATGACTGGTCTTTGTGTGTGTAGGCAGGAAGTGATGGACAGAGCATCGGAAACTGTCCTTTCTCTCAGAGACTCTTTATGATCCTGTGGCTAAAAGGAGTCATTTTTAATGTCACCACAGTCGACCTCAAGCGGTAACATGGTGCAGACGCATACACGTATTCATACAGTGACTATGATACACATGAGAGTGACCATATGCGCCTGACTTTTGGGTTATCAGGAAGCCGGCTGACCTCCACAACCTTGCTCCAGGAACCAACCCTCCTTTTGTGACCTTTAATGGTGAAGTCAAGGTTGATGTCAACAAGATAGAAGAATTCTTGGAGGAGAAACTGACTCCACCCCGGTATGCAAGCACACATTGAAAGACATGTGTTTGCGATGGGAAGCCGTGTTGAGGTTAATTTCAAATTTCTCCATTTTGTCTCCAGATATCCAAGACTGGCTCCCAAACATCCAGAAGCTAACACAGCTGGCATCGACATCTTTGCCAAATTCTCAGCGTACATCAAAAACTCAAGAAAAGACACAACAGATGGTAAGAAGGGACACAGTTAGGTTGGAAACATGTATTCAAGAAAGTTAGTAAGGTGTGTGTGTGGTTTGTTTGTGACTGCAGCATAAAAAAACGCCTTGGCTGCATTTTTAGGTAAACAGCTGCAAAAAGCTTTGTTTGCATAACTCAGTTACTTTTTTGAAGAAGTAACTATATAATTAATTGCCCAACATTGGTCATTATTTACTGTATTTTACAGACAGAGTTACAGACTCTCTCCCAGACCACAGACTCAGAATACAAGTCAGAGCTTTATATAAAAAAAAGAAGAAAGTTGGAGTTGAAGTTATTTTTCCTTCCAACAGTGTTAACATGCTACAGGTCATGAACAAGATTATTTTAAATATTCATTGTAAGTGGGCTAAAGCAGTTCATTAAAAGTCGTCTAACATAAATGCTGTAATTTGATTACTTTAATAAACATGTAACTTGGATGGACTGGATGCTGGCGTGACCACAGTGCACACGTCTGCTGTTGCTCACAGCGGTCCACAGGATGCTCAGGGAGTCTGTGTGAGGGAACATTGGTCATGGCCATGCAGTGTTATACAGATGTTAAACTATATTAAACTATAGAAGATGGAATACGCAGACTTTTCCTCATTTTATATTGGAAAATTGAAACTATTTAAACTAAAACTGCTTTCCCATGCCGTACCTCTGTGGGGAAACCCTCACCATAACTTACTCTTTTTCTTCTTGAATAATCAGGCTCAATCTCAGGTGACAGAGCTCATGGTATCACCTGAACAGAAAGCTCTCAGATTGTTGACTCACTTGTGCTTCTCAGGATATTTAAGAGTAGAATGGGAGGCAGAGGCTGTTTTGTGGAATCAGCTCCCAGTTTGGATTCAGGAGACAGACGCCCTTTTAAGATGAGCTTAAGACTTAAAACTCTCCTTTGTGATAAAGCATATTGTTGGGAGGGTAGCTCAGGTGAGCCTCAAAGACCCTTAAAGTAATCATGTATTTTTTGAAAAACAGTATTCAGTATGTTTAAACTATAAATGATTTGCAAAAAAACCCAAACAAACCTGCAAATATTTGCATTTTATTAAAAGTCTTTTGGAAATGGTGAATACTGGTGTGTAAATAAGGAGCTGGTTGTTGTGGAAAACATCATTGTTTGTTCAGATAGTTCATCCTGTCAATCACATCAGCGTGTTCTCTCCCTCTGACTTTGTAGCCTTACAGAAAGCTTTGTTGAAGTCTCTTCAGCGCCTTGATGACTTCCTAAGGACTCCCCTGTCTGCAGAGATTGATGCTGATGTCTTAGGAGATGTGCCAGAGTCAACTAGGAGCTTCCTAGATGGGCCAGAGCTCACCTTGGCTGACTGCAACCTGCTGCCCAAACTCCACATTCTAAAGGTCTGCAGCTTATTCAGGTTGCTAGAACGTTTACATGAGCTCGATCAGAAGGACCCATTGTTGGTTATTTTCTATGCCTTTTTTCTCAGGTTGTAGCAAAGAAATATCGTGGCTTTGAGATTCCTCGGGAGATGACCTGCGTGTGGCGGTATTTGAACCGTGCCTACCAGAGAGAGGAGTTCACCGGCACCTGTCCTGCTGAGAGGGAGATTGAGTTTGCCTATTTGCATGTTGCAAAATGAATTAAACAAAATGTAGGGCAGCGTATAAATCAAGGAAATCAAGAAATATGTAAAGAACATAAGGAAAACTAGTAAAGAGGAAAGCACTAACACACGGGTCTGTGTGTGTCTGTGTGTGTGTGTGTGTGATCTCTATCTTGACCATTTTAAAAATGATGACAACACACCTTCATGAGCACCAGCCTTCCACACACTGACACACCTGACACACACTCACACACACACACACAAACAAACACACACACAAACACACACACACACACACACACACACACACACACACACACACACACACACACAAATCACAAGAGACGCAGTCTCAAAGACAACAATTATCGCAGCCTTGACTTTGTGATCAATAACAACACTCAGTTTATAAGAAATCAAAATGATTTTTTCATCTTTTATTCTATTTAAAGTGAAAATGTTAATGATGTTCATTTCACACACCATTAAAATCCCAACATGGAAAGATCTTATTTTTCCAGTGTGATGTGTTTACTCCTTACGTAGTGATTCAGTTCCATCACTGCTGATTTATAATCACTGCTCATGATCTACTTCATGATAATAGAAAATGAAAACATAAAGCATTTGTTAGGTAGTAAAGAGCACAGTGTGTCTCAACAAAACAGATCAATAACACACTGATGTGTGCTCATGCAGTGGGACTGTTTAGTGTAATAATCTTGGAAATACTTTGAATCTTACGCTTGTCACTAGCTGTGTGTGGCCGTGCTTTGATTCTGGATTTGTCTACTGTAAATGTGTTTTTGATGGATACAGATCACAGTTCACTCTGATTCAGCCGTGCTTGTCCCAGTATTAAAATCACTTTGTTCTTCATGTACATGCTCAGTGCTAGAATTAAACTGATTGGATCACTTTGTGGACTTTCTTTGCCTTTGCTGTCTGTGTTGCAGCCCTTCTATGTAAGGTATACATGAATGTAATCAAAGTGAAAACATTTCCTGAAGGCAGATCTGACGGTGCATTGTTAGAATGGTGAGGAGACTAAAAGCAGTCAGCATTCAGAATAGTATTATGGTCTGTACAAGGGCAGAATCTCCAGGGGGAGATAATAATCAGACCCAACCAATATAACCCCCCAATAAAATTATGAATATTCTTGCATAAATAGGCTGTTGCTTTTCTTTACTCATTTCAGGTATTACCAGCAAAATAGTCCCATGTTTACCATCTGGGAATTTACCCAGATTTATTTATTTATTTAAACAGAGATCCAGAGACCCCCTAACCTCCTAACCCCTAACCCCCCAATGTTCAGCACAAAGTTACTCCAAAGTTATCTTTCTAGTAGTATGTCGATTTTTGTTGTATTATGACATCCAGAAAGTATCGCAAATAATTTTATTTTATGACATCAAACTGTATGCCAAGAGTGAACAAGACATCAGTGCACTGATCTACACCACCAAGATCTACAGTAATAACACTGGAATGCTATTCGGACTAGAGAAATGTAGTCGGATAACAACAAAGGACAGCTCGAGGAAATCCAAGACAGGAACTTGGGAACAACAGGCAAATAGAAACCATGAAGAGACTGCTGGGAAAGCTGCAAGCTGCAGAGGGTCAGGCAAGTCCTGAGGAGTCAGATGAACGGTGGGATGTCACGGTACTGGGTCAGTTCTGACGCAGCATTTTGAGTTGTTATTGTTTATTTTTGCATTATGGATTATTTTCTTATTTTCTGGTGCTTTATTATTATAAATATATATGTCTTATTCTTGGTGAGGGATTAGTTCTTCGGTTGAATAGAATAGAATAGCCTTTATTGTCATTGTACAGAGTACAACGAAATTGGAGTGCCACTCCCTTGGTGCAAGTTTCAATAATAAATATAAATGTAAAATATAAAAAGTACAAACAAAAAAAAACAATCGTAAGTACTCAAACAATAGTATGTACAATATATACAGGATAGCAGCATTAATATATTGACAGTATGAATAGCAGCATAATGTAATGACAGTGACGGTATGGAATAGGTTCAATTGTTTTGTGCTTATTTACTACGGTGATAGCTCTGGGAAAGAAGCTATCCCTGAATCTGTTTGTCCTGGTTTTATGTGACCTGTACCGTCGGCCTGACGGTAATAGTTCAAACAGTTGGTTGCTGGGGTGAGAGTGGTCCTTGATGATATTGCCAGCTCTGCTGAGGTACCGAGAGTTTGCAGTGACCTCCAGGCTGGGCAGAGAGCAGCCAGTGATCTTCTGGGCTGTGTTGATGACCCTCTGCAGTACTTTCCTGTCTGCAGCTGAGCACCCTGCATACCATGTTGTTATGCCGTACGTTAGGATGCTCTCTATGGTGGCTCTGTAAAATGTCACCAGCAGCCTCTCCTCCAGGTTGTTCCTCCTGAGCACTCTCAGAAAGTGGAGACGCTGCTGGGCCTTTTTAACCACTGCTGTAGTATTTGCAGTCCAGGAGAGGTCATCAGAGATCTGCACGCCCAGAAACCTCATGGAGCGTACCCTCTCCACACAGTTCCCGTGAATGTAAAGTGGGGCCGGGTCTGCTCTGCCCTTCCTGAAGTCCAAGATAAGTTCTTTAGTTTTCGTGGTGTTCAGCTGGAGGTTGTTAACTGAACACCACTCAGTCAGTCTGTTGACCTCATCTCTGTAGTCCGACTCATCCCCCCTTGAGATGAGTCCAACCACTGTGGTGTCATCCGCGAACTTTATGATGGTGTTTGAGAGATGGGTAGGGGAGCAGTCGGATGTGTAGAGCGTAAACAGGAGGGGACTCAAAACACATCCTTGTGGAGACCCGGTGCTGAGTGTGATGGTGCTGGACAGGTGGGGGCGGAGTCTGACAGACTGTGGTCTATTTGTCAGGAAGTCCTTGATCCAGAGGCAGATGGGGGTGGAGAGTCCCAGGTGAGACAGTTTCTGGACCAGGATCTCCGGGATGATATGATTGAATGCTGAGCTGAAGTCCAGAAAGAGCATTCTCACATAGCTTCCTCGGTGCTCCAGGTGACTCAGCGCAGTGTGGAGCGCTATGGTGATAGCGTCCTCGGTGGATCGATTTGTCCTGTAGGCAAATTGGTGGGGGTCCAGAGTGGGAGGCAGACCGGCCCTGATGTGCTGACAGACCAGTCTCTCAAAGCACTTCATCACTACAGGCGTTGTGTCTTATGTTTAGTATAGTTTGAGTTCCATGTCTTATATTCTTTCTGTCTGCCTCTCAGTGTCAAGTCTGCGTCTTTGTGATTTGTGTGTTGTTTCCTGTTTTATTTTGAAGGATTGTGTCTTATGTCAGTGTGTCCAGCTTCGCTCCCCCTGTCTCGTTAGTCTAATTTCTCCCAGCTGTGTCTCCCTCCTGTTGCCCATTCCCTGATTACCGCCCTGTGTATATAAGCCCTGTGTTTTCCTGTGCTTTCCTCTGCTCTCTGTTGCATTGTACCCTCAGTTCCTGCCTGTGTGGTCCAGTTTGTGTTTTCACGGTTTGGTTTCTTTTTTTGTTTGGTGCCAGCAATAAAACTGAGGTTCTCAGTTACATTTACGTCTCCAAGTCCTGCATTTGGATGCTCATCTCCGCCTGCCCGCACACAGAGCCCTGACAGAACGACGAGACCAGCATGGATCCAGCGGACTCACTTTTAGCTTCAGTGGGGGAGTATCACCGGCGTGGAAACCAAAAATAGAGAGGGCATAGCCTAATGAAACAGGAAAAGACTGCCGTGTAATGCCTTTATTTCAACAAAGTAACTGTATTCTGAATACCACCTTTTTAAACGGTAACTGTAACGGAATAGTTACTCATATTTTGTATTTTAAATGCGTAACGGCGGTACGTGTACTCCGTTACTCCCCAACACTGCATATATACAGTTTAGTGCCCAGCAACATGGTTTATAAAATAAATCATGTTTGTAGTTGCTGTCCTGTGAGGACCACTTATCTCTGAAAAACTAGTGAGCTCAGAAATACAGGCCTTCATTTAGATTTTTTAAAGCACATTAAGTAAGTTAATAATTAAAACAAACAGCTGAATTAAAGGGTTGAGCAAACGCTTTAACTGTAAATATCTACAGGGGATTAAAAATATGAATGAAAATGAATTTGGAGCTGCTGGTTAAAGACAGTACATTCAGATAATCTCATAGATGTTAATAAGTACTGCTGAGCCTGCATTTTATTAGATCAGATGATTAGAGCTGCCATCCCCTCTCTATTGTAATCAGAGCTTTCCTTGTTAATGTACCAAAAACATTTATTAACGGCTTTTTTATTCTCCATCTTCTCTTCATCCCACATGTTAGCCAAAGTAGGTACAAAGAGGAGACTCGTATTACGCTGACAAACCACTGAGGCTCTTTTACTTGCTAATGCTAGCTGTATATGAAGCGCAGATAGTAAGTGATCTCAGAACAGTGAAAGGTCAGTCAGTGGTCGCTTGTGCCACATACTGGTCTCTAATCAGTTTATAGTCAAAGGCCAGTGGTTTATCCACAATGCTTACGCACAAACCATCAGAAAAACCTCCTGGCCTCTCATCTTGCCCACTAAAGTAATTGACTGACACACCTTCAAAACAGCAAGGGTTGCATTCCCTTATGAAATTTAAGCAAGGGCAGCAGACTGTAGCTAACTGCGGCCACAAGAAGGCAGCAGTGTAAAGGCTGGATGCACAAATTATTGCCATGCGAGGATAGACTATTTTTAGATATTTTCCTGCTACATCACTGCTACAGTCCACAACCTAACCAACTGTCCATGTCCATCATGTGCTCAAACAGTGGTGTGATGTTTGATAATAGCCTGCTCTTGGTCCTGTGCTAGACTTTTGACTTTCCAAAACAGTGTATGCTTGAATCATTGTGGTAAATAAAAATAGACAAAATGATTGTGATTGCAAGGTCAAGCACATTTAACACAGAGACTTGCATATAATCACCAGCTGGATGACAATGACGCTGACTTCTGCAGAAACCCTTTGAATGAAGTGACCCAGAATTTACATACCCGGACACCAAATACTCACAGTCCAGTTTCCCCAGAAACGCCCGGTTGAAGAATTCACTGCTGGTCTGGACATAGGCTGGTTTGACTACTGAGGCTAGCTGGTGTCAGTCATCAAATACTATTAACTCTGATGATGATTTAGTGTCAGATTGCAACATACTGCTGCTGAAGCTGTATCTAAATAAAGTACTGTATTTGATCTCAGCTCAATAACCAGTGTTACAAAATCCTTTAAATACAAACTGTGTAATCAAAGAAAAACCACAAAGTGAAGTTACTGTTTCAGATCTCTGACTGTAGGAAATAAAATGGCAGCCTTTCTCGTCACAGTCAGTATTTGCTATGCAAATGATAAACTTTATTTAAAATATGGCACACACATTGAAAAACTGACGCGTGTCTGTCTTATAAAGGAGCGTAAGGGTTAACAAGTATGTGTGTCTTGACCAAGGGTGCACAAGGTTTGTTTTGACTGGTCTGTCTTGTTAGTTGATGCATGAATGAAAAGGTCCAAGGCTGGCGCCGGCCTGGTTCGGCACGAAGATCTTTCTGTTGTCATAGCCACAGTTTCTTAGCACTCAAAAGTCAGGCAGGAGATACAGAAGAGGATGGAGGCTGAATAAAAAATGGAGACGCATGCTTGGGTAGATGGAAGGGGAGATGAGCGAAAGGAAGAAGATGAGACACAAAAGTGAGCCGCGGCTGGAAAGCTGTCATTTCTGAGAGCAATACTTCCAGAAACACACTGTGGAAGAAGCAAAGAAGGAACACGTGGTTATAAATCAGTCTGAAGACATGCTGGTGAAAAAGCTGTGACAACACCTCAAAGAGCAATGATAAATTCATGCACACTAAAAATTGCACACATAATTATGCACTCCAGTCCCCAAGAACTGCTGCTCTGCAAATGTGCTGCATTAATCAAAGCTGAATGAGAGCAGCTTGGCTTAATACATAAATAGGTCTGACCTGTTTATTATTATGGTCTGTCAACCAAATACACCACCTGTCAGAAGATATATACTAACTTTCCTCACCTCTTTTGTTGGTCTTCTTGGTCTGTGGTGGGAAGGACTTCCTAAAGTTTCGACCAGTCAGGCTTGGGATGACGTCTGCACTGGCTTTGGATGCAGTGCTGTCAAGTAACACTGGGCACGCAGTGGTGGGATTCACCGCTCCTTCAGCAGCAGTGAGCTTCCATCACAACAGTAACAAAAAGATTAAACTGGCTGTCAGCAATCAAAGCACGAGTCATCAACGAGATACTTTCCTTCTCCCCCCTTTTAAGAATGCAACCACACAAACATCATTGGCTGTTTTATACTCCTATACGTGGAAATTGTTGCATAGTGGCTTTGCTTGGATTTCAAGACTTCCTCGTTTCTGCACCCTGTCACACTCTGGTTCATTTAATCCTTTGGTCAAAGTTCTTTATTGCTGGATTTAAGAAGTCATGTTCAAAATGCAACCAGCACTTCATTAGAACTGCCCACCTTTGGGACAAAGACCAGTGTTTTGAATAAAACTAAACAACAAGCCAGTTTTCTCTTCAGATAGACTATTAACCTGCAAGCAACCAAAGACTACTCAAGCAAGGGAATAATGCAGGGAGCACAAAATTCTCATTTCTTGTCAGCCAATTCACGTATCTGTTTTCTTTATGTCTAATTTGAATGCAGTTATTTTGCATGTTTCTAATCTGACTGACCACTTGAACCGCTTCAGACTGCGGGCCCTACTAAGTGACATTTGTTCATACATTCATGCAGCACTCAGATCTTTAGACTTTGGGTCTAACTTACCACTTTCTCTTTCCCCCCGGCATTTCTGCTGCTTACTGAAATGAAAAACAAAACAAAAACGTCAGGAAAGCAGAGGTCACTTCTTGGTTTAGGCCAAGCCTGTAAATACTGTGCAGTCCTGAGTCTCTCCAGACATTACCTAAGGAGCTGCATGTTTGAGTTAGTCTGATGTTAAATAGTCTTTAATGCAGCAACTCATAAGTACAAAGTGTTTTGAAATGAACTAATATTTTTCTAGTCTAGTCAGAGTACTCAAAGAACTTTAAAAAACATATTCACAAAGGCATATTCATTCATTCTGGTGGAGACATCGAGGTACATGGGGAGGGGCAGGTGATTGACTGATGCTCTGATTATCTGATCTCCTCCTTCGTGCTGTGATAAAGGCCAATGGTAGAAAATATCCCAGATACAGTGTCTTAATGTGGGAGAGATATTCTTTATGTTGAGACCTTTCTCTTGGCGTTTTCTTTCTGCTAATGCTGGAACCTTAAAGAGTAATACATTTTATAATACAATGAAGAAGGAAATGCATAAAAAAGTTAAACGAAGAGTGGTATTACCTCGTGGCATGATGGTAAGCTGTGAGCTCCGGGTTCTGTTAAATGCCCGGTGAAGTTCCTCCAGGGCTGAGATCATCTTCTGCAGCTTGGCTTGTGTACCAGGACCAGCTGTGTTGCTGTTGACCACTGGTTGCTTGGACTTGGTGTCTGCAATAGTTCTTGTGGCAGTTCGGTCAGTGGTTTGTGCTGTACCATCATGTTGAGCTGCTGTGCTTTTGAGGAGCCAGTGCTTCAGGTATTGGTTTGAATTGAATGCTAAGGTCTTCTGTGGAACAGCTGAGACATGAAAAAGACTACGAAGGGAACGTGGTTGTTTCACAAAGCCTACAAAACAAATAACAATAAAGTGATTAGGCTGGCTTTTCCATGAAGAGCGTGCACAGAAACACAAGAAGCTGCTATTCGGTTCCAGCCATCATACACCTTCTTTTGAAATGATTGATGCAAAGACCGAGGCTGAAGACTGAATGACTTTTTTAAAAACTGTGACGTGCTTTAAATGAAAGCACAGTTTTTTAAACACAAACAAACCTTTAACCAGTAACTCTTCAAGAATAAGGAAATGCCGGCTATGAGAATTAGGCGGTCTTGTATTATTAACATTTTTTTACCTCTTTCATCAGCTGCTGCTTCCACTTGCATCCCTAGAATCATCAGAACGTGCAGGATGAACGCCATCCCCATCAAAGCTGTTGCTCTGTTTAGCATTGTGGCTTTAGTTGAAAAAGAAAAAAAGATGATGCTCAGGCCTGCAGTCTATATGAATTTACTTTTTCTGAAAATTTCAAACTTGGACTAGGAATCTTTTTCCCACAGTGTTTTTGTTCTACAAGTTCTCAGTCTGTATTGTTTCTCCTGATGCTCAAATTATCCATCCAAAAAATGAGCTCTGGAGATTTTCTGGGTTCTTTTAGTGACTTGTCTATGGAGAGTCTGTTGTTTCCAGTTTACTCAAAGAGATAATCGGCGTTATCTTCAGGTGTGATACTGCACCTAAATTGGTATTTGTCAATTAAATCTCTGCAGCTTCTCTAAAAAACCTACAGTTCAGCATCAGTTTCATCTGTGAAACAGAGAAAGTTTTTCTTTTCATAATCCATGGATGCACCTCTCAAAGAAGGCTTGTCAAGAGTGTGTTGCTTTTTCGGACACAGTCAGCGTACCTCGCTTTTATAATCCTTGGTTTGTCCCAGAGCGTCAGACTGATTTCTCAGCATCAACCAATGAGACCTGAAAGGCCACGTAGCCCAGCCCTTCCTCCTCGATGGGTCGGTGACATTTGGAGAGTGTGGCGGCAAGCTTTGTGTGTTTGGTGTCAGCTGTATTGTTTTGTGAATCTGGTGTCTGTGTGTGTGTGCTTAGGCTTGTGTTTAATATGTGTGTCTTGTGTATGTGGACATGGCTGTATAAGCAGTGATAAGGTAGTTCTTAATATGTTTGCTCAGGGGCCACAGAAAAAGAAAAGCATTCTGACGCATGAGGGCTTGGAGCCTCCGACTGCACACACACACACACACACACACACACACACACACACACACACACACACACACACACACACATGAATACACTAGAAACTCACATACACATACAAATGAACTTGGAAGAATAGTGAAAACCACACACAGACTCTGAAAACAAGCGGGATGCACATCAAAGTGCACATGAAGACTGGGAATTCATGTCCAAAAAGGGCTTTTCAGTTGTTGCTCATTGGAATGACTAAACCTTCAGACAGAAAGCTGACACCTTAGTGATAGCTACAAATATACACCCGTGAACCACATTAATCCGTGTGATGGTGGAAGGACACGATGGGGGGAAATATTGAACTTTGCAAAGAGATAGAATATAAGAAGGGTGAGAGAGACCAGGAGAGTTGCTGGGTGAAAAGAATTTAGTTTAAAAACATTCCCTCATTGTCTCAATCTTTCTGACTAGCTTTGACGTTAACACGCTGTGTGTGTCCACATGTGACGGAGACAAAAAGTGACTGAGTTTGAAAGTTTAAGGGAAATACAAAAGGAATGTTTTCTTCTTCCAGTTTCTATAGAAGCCTTTAGCTTCTCCTCTAGTAGACACTTACAGGATGTGTGTTTGCACATTTCTTTCATTCATTTCATTCTTTAAAAATCAAAACAAAAACAGGAATATCAGAATCTGACTAGATTATTTTCTAGTAAGTTTTCATGCAATTTTTCAGCTGGTGAAAGTCTCTGTCAATTAATAACCATGACATAGTTGAAGATAGTAGCAGCTTGATTTTTTCCCTTTTGTGTCTTTCTCTCTTGCTGTCGCTGTTTTGCGATTTCAGGTACTCTGAGACAGGCTCACAAAGGTGATATAGATGAGATATAAAAATGGAGCCCTGATGTTAAGATGTGAAAGTCAACACATATGACCCACTGCAATTTGAAGCATTCAATGAAACAAAAATACGTTAGACTGGGTAGGTAGAGGTGAGATTCAAACCTACTACTAATGATGACTAGTTACTGATACCCAGGATGCTACCAAAACTCAACCAATAGGCTTCAGTGTAATTTTGATACCCGGTTTTGAATAATATACAACATCCAGAGTGTGAATGTGTGTGTGACTGGGTGGATGACTGGATATGTAAAGCGCTTTGGGGTCCTTAGGGACTAGTAAAGCGCTATATAAATACAGGCCATTTACCATTTATCCAACTGTGCAGAGAAACCACCCACCCTTTCTCCATTTACAGTGGGGCAAAAAAGTATTTAGTCAGCCACCGATTGTGCAAGTTCCCCCACCTAAAATGATGACAGAGGTCAGTAATTTGCA